TTGAAATGACAAGATCTTCCTGTGTGGATATTTTATGCTTCATGAAAAATAAATGAGACAGGAAGTTAACGGCTGCTTGTTAGCTGTAGCTTTGTTTTACGAGCTTCAAGGTCTAACCAACTAAGTTTGATTGGAGTCTTTAGTTTGTCGTTGTTTTTATCCGTAATTTTCGGTTGAACGACATTATGCATCTCAAGTCAAGTATTCTGTTATATTTATTTTTAATCCCTTTTAACAGGCTGCGCTCGTTCGTAAAATATTGATTTCGCTACTCGGAATTAAAATTTGTTACGTTTGGGCCCCCTTGTCATATCCTTTATATATTTTTCTACCCTACTATTTTTGTAGAAAAATGAGGGCGCAGTTTTCGCTGGAAAAAAAAGAAAAAAAAAAAAAACATCAAGGAAAGTGATCTTCTTGGGTGGATGTGTTTTGTTTCATAGAACGTCATACATGGAGTCAAACTAGCTGTTAGCTTTGTTTTACGAGCTTAAAGGGTCAAACATAATCTGTCTTGTATTTGCGCTTGTGTTTTCTTGTAAATGTCAGTTGAAAAAAAAAATATAGGCCTCTCATGTCATTTATCCGGTGATTCTGTTCTGTTTATGACATTGCTGCTGAATAATTTAAAAAGTTTGATCCAATGTTTCCCAAGAACTTCAATTTGAAGGAATTAGTTTACAAAGAAAAAAAAAAAGTGTTATTAAAATGTATTTCAAAGAGACTGTCATTGATGAACTTACCACAATACTGAAGTGATGGAAAGATTGGATGCTGACAAACTTGTCCGTGTTGTTGTACTTGTCCGATGGGAGTAGTTCACATGAGATTCTTCCGTTGATGTCATAAAATGCAGCCAGGTTATAGGAGAAACATGACGGCAGGCTAACACATGCAAAGCCACATTCTTCTCCATCGAGGACATAATCAGTACCAAGACTTGTGATGTTTAAGTACGAGAACTTGTGGAGCTCGAAGTTGGCAAAGGCGAGGCCACTCTGAACTCCTCTTCCTCCTATAACATCAGGTGTACCTGTGTCGATTTCATCCATTGAATAAATGATTACGAAGTCTCAAAGGTTTTACGAAATTTCTGAATTAGGTTAAAGAATAAGCTTTTATCTAAAAGAAGTGATATACAAGCAACGCTACCTTTTGAAGTTGCTACGGCGCTGAATGATACCATCAAAACCAAAAAGCCGGTAGTACATTGAAAAAGATCCATCCGAAACGTGGATCAGGGCCGCCAAGTTCCGCGGCGAAGACTAGTG